GCAATAAACATGCGTGCACAGGTGTCCTTTTTTTTGTAGAATTATTTGGGTTCCTCTTGGTGTATTCCCAGAAGGAAAATGTGGGATCATATGGTAAGTCTATACTTAGATCTTTTAGAAAATCTCATAATTGATTTCCCACAGAGGTTGTATTAGTTTACATTCCCACCAATAGTATGGAAGTGTTCCCTTTATTCACACATCCTCTCCAGCTGTTGTTTTTTGAGTTATTGATGATGGCCATCCTGACTGGAGTTAATTGGTATTTCAGTGTGGTTTTAATTTGTGTTTCTTTGATAAAATAGAGAGGCTGAGCATTTTTTCATGTATCTGTTGACTGCTCATACATCTTCCTTTGAGAAATGTCTCTTCACATTTTTTGCTCACTTTTTTTTTTTTGAGTTGGGGCCCCCACCCCCCCATCCACACACACTCACACATTCAGGATATCCAACAACAGATCTCTTCTATATGGCTCTATGCCAAAGTATATACCTATGTGCTTTAGATCCTTGTATTGAACGAAGGCATACTGGCCCTCATGGAGGGAATTGGTGCTGAGAAAGGAAAAGACATACAGAGGCAGGAGATTCCCTGCTCCCAAAGGAGAGAAGAAAATAATAACTGTATGAGGTAAGACCTGAGAGTCAAATCTCTATATTAAGGAAGGCTGAGCTGTGTAAGAAATGTGAAATTGAGAAACTATGAATCTGAGAAAGTGACATCGGGAAGGTAAGTCTGGGTTAGATTTTTTTTTTTTTTTAGGATGGAAAGGAGGTATTAATATAGAGGAGAGGCTGAGAAGGTACCAGAGAAGTGGGCAGCTCTGTGGTAAAGTTCAAAGAGGAGCAGCGGGCCAAAGAGAAGAATGGCCTAGGGTAACTGGATTGATTTGTGTTTTCCTGGGGGCTGGGATGGGAGAAGAGCAGTTTGGAGAGGTGCTTTCCAGGTGAGGATAGCGAGACTGAAGAGTAAACCACTTTGGATTCCACAAAAGATACAAGAATCATATATAGGATCTATTTTTCAACATGAGGAACAGTGGAAGGAAAAGTTAAACTACTGCAAACAGGAAGCCATATATAAAGGATAAATGGGCCAAGTTCCTGAACAGAGAGTCAGGCAAAGCATTCAAAAACAGATGATATGAATCTATTGAAATAGTAGCAGAAATAACTTCTCCAGTAAAAAGAAGATAATTAGAGGATGAAAGAGGATTGTCAGGAACAGAGAAAATAAAATCGTGTGTGCTTGCTTGTCTGGATATCTCTGTTATTGCAGAAATAAACCTCTGCTCTACTTGGTCTTGGAGGAGAGGAAGGAATAGAAGGTTTGGATCCAACATTCATATTGTGAAGCCAATAAGGAAAGAGTCAAAAGATGACAGAGAAGTTCCAGTGGAAACTGTCTAGATTTGTTATAGATCAGATATACGAATTCACCAAACAAAAATATACCAGCTAAGATTAAAGACTAGGAATATGAGCCAGGAAGAGGAGCTGTCAGCTACTGAGGGAACGACATGTAATGAAATAAGATAAGTATCATTCAAGGTTCTGACCAAGGAAGTCAGACTGGCAGAGTTGAAGAATTAAAGCCTGAAGCCAAGTGATTGTTAAAGTCTTCTTCTGTTCTTGCATTTAAAGTATTTAACTTTGTATAGTCTACCTCTGTCCTGATTCTACTCTTAAAAAATGTAAATCCCCTTGGTGGCCAAGATATTTTTAATAGGAGACACATTGGAAGGGAAGAGGAGCTTCCAAAGATGACAGAAGGGGATTCCCATAGACAAGGGGGATTTGGATATATAAGGAGTGTGAGTCTGAAAAAAAGAGCTGCCAGATAAACACTTAAAGTGAAGTCATTGGAGGTGCTCAGTTTTGAGGTTTTGAGACTTCAGTGGGTCCCCGAACTGGAATGAAAACAGAAATCACTGGGCTGGAGGATAAAGAGACACAGGCTGCCTTGGAGACTCATTATTTAGGAGGAGAGCTAAAGTCAAGTTGGAGAAGAAAGGTGTATGCAGCTGCTGACATCACAGGTGGGAACATAATGATGGTGCTGTGGGAAGAACGAGCACAACAAATGGCCCACACCACAGGCATAAAGAGAACATGAGAACAGAAGATCTACAGTCATAAATCTGTGATTTTTGTGGTCTTATTGTGTGTTCTTGTCAGTATAAACTTACAGGGCCGAGTGAGTGGGAATTTAACCTCTCTCTCAACTTTGGAACATTCACTAAGTATAATCTCTACCCCAAGATATCAGTGAATAAGATACAGTCCTGATTCTCAGGGAGCTCATAATATATTAGGACTGAAAATATTTCACTGTAATAAATAATGAGAGAGAGAGAGAGAGAAAGAGAGAACTGCGGGAGAATGTAGGAGTCTAGACTAGCTATATCAAAAAGGGAGGATAGAGGTAGAGAATGTATAAAAGATAACAAAGAAAGAAGATCAGGTTCAGGGACATACATGCTTTCTAATGTAAGTAGGGAAAATAAGGAGTGTGTGTCGTGTGTGTGTGTGTGCTCATATATACACATAGCATACTTACATGCATGCATTTTTATATGTATGCTTTAAAAATAATTTTTAAAATCTTTCTTATATTTAGGTAAAGTAAAATATAGTGCAGCTGTAACAAAGGAAACATTGAAAATCAGAAGGGACATCAGCACTACTTTCTCTGAGATAGGAGGAAATGAAGGGAGGAGTGCAGAAGCAAATAAGTTTACAGGAGTAGCATAATAATGTGAGGAGTTGACTTCCAGCAGCCTTGAATTCTCACCTATGTGAGAGAAAATTTCAGTGAGAGTGAGGAACAGGATTTAGACAGTAATAAAAATTGTATGTTCGTTGTGAAAATGATTTAGTAGGACTGAATAATTTAGTAGGAGGGGCCACATGGCCAAATACGTAATAAAGACTACTTGTGTGGTTGTGTCGTTCTCTTCACATCCTAACTATGTGAGGTGACGATAACACTAGTTAGATTTTAATTGAATTCTGAGCATTTTCAGGGATAATGCAGCAGAAACCAATGGGGATTGAGAAGTAATCGTCCTAGCAGAAGAGCTGGCATCCAGAATAAATAGGAAAGAATGTTTTAAGTCTTACATCAATGATTTTCAACCTTCAGCGTGAATCAGAGCCACCTGGAGGGCTTGCTAAAATACAAATTGTTATCCCCAACCTCAGATTTTCTGCCTCTGTAGGTTTGTGGTAAGGACCAAGAATTTGCCAGTTCCCTAATGATGCTGATGTTGCTAGCGTGGGGACCACACTTCAGTGACATTGTTCAAAACCTTTCTGTTCTAGGCGATTACACCACATTTCATAGAGGTCACCCAAGAAGCACCACAGTTTAATAAGGCTTCCATAAAGAAAATTTAGCTCAATTTAACCAACAGAACAATCATGATCAGAAAATTGCTACTCGGGAAGAAAGTGACTTATCCAAGCTTATGCAGTCAATAGCTGACAGAGCAGATTTTTTCACACCCTCTCCAGTGCTCTTTCTAAATACCATAGATGCCTTCATTGTCTTCGTATTTATCAGACCATCTGTGCCCGGGGGGGGGAAATAGATGTAAGATCTGAAGTGCCTGCAGTGCCCAACCCCACTCTTCCACGCAGTGGTGATGGCTAAGCCTGGAGCTTTTGCAGAGCTCATTACAGTTCACAGGCCCATAGAGATTGTAGAGATTGTCTATGACGTTCTAGCTATTCCTGTACTTTTCTGAATCTGTGACCCTGTGCTGACGCTGGCAATGTTTTTGAGCTGTGTATTTTCCTGAAGCTCTTACAGCTGTGTGGAACGCTTCTGAATAAGGACACAAAGCCTTTCTGTAGGCAAGTACTGTATGTAATTGTGCGGAACCTGTGTGTGGTTGTTTACAGAGAATATGCCTATGTGCAGAGCATGTAACTGTTGTAGGGTTTGTGTGTGCAGACCTTGTGATTGTTTGCAAGTCTTTATGTGAACTCTGCTAATGTGTTCAAAGTCTAAAGCTCTTTTTATCTCTATGGCACAGGTGTGGACTCTACAGAAAATCATGGCCCTTTTTTCTGCTAATAGCATAGCTGCTGTGAACAGCTCTGACACTCGCATGACAGGCTGCCTCCTCACTGGCATCCCCGGGCTGGAGCATCTACACATCTGGCTCTCTATCCCCTTCTGCACCATGTACATAACTGTACTGGCAGGCAATGGCATTCTAATTTGCATCATACTTTCCCAGCCAAACCTGCATGAGCCCATGTACATATTCCTGTCCATGCTGGCCGGTACTGATGTGTTGCTCTCTACCTCCACCATGCCCAAGGCACTGGCCAACTTCTGGCTAGGTTCCAGCCACATTTCTTTTAATGGCTGCCTCACCCAGATGTTCTTCATTCACTTCCTCTTTGTGGCTGATTCTGCTGTCCTTCTGGCCATGGCCTTTGACCGCTATGTGGCTATCTGCTCCCCTCTGCACTATGCTGCAATCCTCACGACCAAGGTCATTGGGAAGATCGCCGCTGCCACCCTGACCCGCAGCTTCTTCATCATGTTTCCATCCATCTTTCTCCTCAAACGGCTTCACTATTGCCGGATCAACATCATTGCACACACATTTTGTGAACACATGGGCATTGCCCATCTGTCCTGTTCCGATATCTCCATCAATGTCTGGTACGGGCTGACAGCTGCTCTCCTCTCCACAGGCCTGGACATCATCCTTATTGCTGTTTCCTACATCCACATTCTCCGAGCAGTCTTCCACCTCCCTTCTCGGGATGCCCGTTCCAAGGCTCTAAGCACCTGTGGATCCCACATCTGTGTCATCCTGCTTTTCTATATTCCTGCACTCTTTTCTGTCTTTGCCTACAGGTTTGGTGGTAGACGCATCCCACGCTATGTCCATATCCTCCTGGCCAACCTGTATGTAGTCATTCCACCTATGCTCAATCCCATGATTTATGGAGGGAGGACCAAGCAAATATTGGAAGGAGCTAAGCAGATGATTTCAAATCTTGCCAAAGAATCTAAATGAATGCTCCTAACTAGGCCTCAACTTAACCCTTTTCTATACCTATTAACTGTCCTGTATTTACCCTATTATTGTCTCTACATCGTCCAATTATCCCCATATTATTCTCATCTGTCTCAACTTATTTAAATATGTCACCTTTTCAAACTCACTTCTGATTTATTTTCTTAGAAATCTATTGTAGTACTCTCTCCATTCTCTTCTATCTACTATTCAAATGCAGTCTTACCTGCCATCACCCCAAAAAGAACTAACCAGTTAGAAGAAATGTAATAATTTACTTCAAATTTACTGTTCACATAGAACTTTTCTCAACATCTGTTAATACATTAGCCTCCTAATGTACACTTAATCACTTGATATAATTTTGACATTTATTTACCAGTTCAACATCTTTTTCTGATGGAAAACCCAGAGAACTGTCATGACTAAAAATGTATAATTTTATGGGATGATATTTATTTTTCTTACCAGCTATGCAAATCCATGAGCACATATGTGTATATACCCAAGTTCAGAAATACTAACACCCAGCAGCATACATAGGTGGATACAACCATTTGTCAGTTTAAATTTGAATATAGAACTTCAAAATATTTTTTCAAATACACCTGAACTACCATCACCTTTTCTGGACAAAATTTTCCTCAAAATGTAGATAATTGCATAGAGATAGAGTACTTTTTATCCAAATATGCTTTGTTAAAAATTATATTGGCTCTTACAATTCAAAGTCAAAATATTTGCTCTTAGCCAGGCTCGGTGGCTCAGCCTGTAATCCTGCACCTTTGGGAGGCTGAGGTGAGTGGATTGCCTGAGCCCACGAGTTCGAGACCCGCCTGGGCAGCGAGACCTCATCTCTACAATAAATCAGAAAATCAGCCGGGCATGGTAGCGCATGCCTGTAATTCCAGCTACTTGGAAGGCTGAGGGGGAAGGATTGCCGGAGCCCAGCAGGTCGAGGCTGCGGTGGCCGGGAGTGGCCACTGCACTCCAGTCTGGGCGACAGAGTGAGATTCCAACTCAAAAACTATATATACATATATTTGCTCTTATTTATTAGCTATGGGTCTATGAATTCTTCAATAAGTCGGTAAATAATTCTTTAATAAATATGTGAAGTTATTATATGTAATTTAATAGCTTTCTCAGTAATAATTATTAACATCAGGATTTAACCTAAACTAATGTTCTCTTAAATTGAGAAGTATAACTCAGCCTGAATTTTAGCCCAAGACCAATTCATCTTTGAAAACATAGTTCACATCTCAACTCTGCCACTCCCATACTCAGCCCACAGTGAAAGATTCATCTTTTGAGATTCTGCTTCACTTTTTCACTTGAATCACTGTTTTGCTGGATCATGAGCATTTGCTTCTTGTTTTATACGATATCTTCTCATGTTTGTGCCTTAATTCTCTGCTGGAGTGTGCATTCTTTGAAGAAAATAAAAATACATTTTGCAAATATTTTTATCTATATTGCCTCAAAACATGCGAATCCCTCTCATATATGCAATATGTATGTATGTGGATAAAATTCTCACTCAAAAATTATGAACATCCAAAAAAACAAAATAAAACAAACAAACAAAAAAAGCCAGGTGTGGGGCTCAAGCTTGTAATCCCAGCACTTTGGAAGGCGGAGGCAAGAGCAGCCTGGGCAACTTGGCAAGACCTTGTCTCTAAAATAAATTAAAATATTAGCTGGGCATGGTAGTGTGGACCAGCAGTTCCAGCTACTTGGAAGGCTGAGGCAGAAGGATCACTTGAGCTCAGCAGGTCGAGACTGCTGTGGCTGTGAGTGTGCCACTGCACTCCAACCTGGGTGACAGGGAGAACTTCAACACAACAAATAAAACAAAACAAAACAAAAAATTATGAACATCACTTTTCTGTTCTATATTCATTCTTGTTTGAGGGAGTTTTCATGTAAGAAGTAGCTCCAACTAAGCAAAACTACAAAATGGCCTTGTCTTGCAGATTAAAGGCTGAGACCCTTCATGGGAGGTTGAACAAGGAAGGTTTGATTCATAGAGAATAACATATTTTATAGAAAAAAAAAATCAAGAGACTTTGACGTTTCTTTTTCCTGAGCCCCTAAAACTCTCCCAAGTCTCTGTCTCAACTCTCCCCTAACACTATTTATAGAGTTATTCTCAGTATCCCTGAGAATGCCCAAATGATGGTGGAGGGGAAGAAAACACTTTTTTCTCTACCCTCCCAGGTTCTCCAGCTGGGGCCCTGAAAATTAGAATGACAAAAAAACAGGTTAATAAAAAAAAGATGAACAAGTTTATTAGCATGAACATTAACATAGGAGAAACTAGGTCACAAATAGCACAAAGTGATGGTTAGAACTTAGGCTTACATAGCATCTTTGAAGAGAAGTAACAAAACAAACAAACAAACAAAAAGTTTTACATAGAACCAACCCAGATGACCATTAAAAGTGGACTGGACAAAGAAAATATGGTACATATACATGATGAAATATTATGCAGCATAAAAAAGAACAAATTTATGACCTTCACAGCAATATGGATTTAGCTGGAGACCATCTTACTCAGTGAACTACCAACAGAAAGAAAGAAAGAACTGAATATTGCTTGTTCTCATCCATAAGCAGACCCTGGTCATTGATCACATGAGCACAAGGGCGGGATGGGGAGACACTGAACATTGCCAGGAGAGCTAAGGATGGAGGAGGGAGGGACACACATGGTGACACACTTGGTACCTGGCCCACCATCAGGGGAAGAGAGGGCCAACTAGAAGCCCAAACGTCACCTGCATGCAACTTACTTTTGTAAACAATCCTCCCTTGTACCCCATAAACAAATAAAATGAATAAATAAAATTTTTAAAGAGTTTTAAGCTTATAAGAGTGAAAAACTGTGGATAAGTAAACCTGCATAGAAACTAATGGCAAATAAGTGTTAATAAGTCAAATTTTTTTGTGTAGATTCTTTCTCAGAACTATATTATCTCTGGTGATAGGTTGTTATACCCTTTCTGATATGGGAAGTGTGAGGCGAGAGTGGGAGCAACTTTTATAAGGGGAATTTGTGTTTTGCTTTCGGGTAGATAGAAGAAAGACAGAGAATTTGTCCTATGTCTGCTTTGTCTCAATTGCCTTCAGTTTAAAATAATCCTTATGCCAGAGTGGTCTATTTTAGGGTAGCATACTCTGAACTTGTCTTAGTCCATTTGGGCTATTAAAACAACATGTCATAACCTGGATAAATTCTAAACAAAATTTATTTCTCACAGTTCTGGAGGCTAGGGAGTCTAAAATCAAAGTATTTCGTGTCTGGTGAGGGCCCACTTTTGAGTTCATAGATGGTGCCTTCTAACCACGTCCTCACACAGTGGAAGGAGGACACTGCTCTCATTCATGAGGGCCCTACCCTCATGACCTAGTCACCTCACAAATCTCCCCACCTCCTAATACTACCACTTTGGTGATTATATTTTTTTTCTTTTTCTTTTTTATTAATTTTAAAGATATGGGGTACAAGTCAGGATTGGGTACATAAATAGTCTATGTACAGGTGAAGTTTGGGCCTCATGTTGGACCTCACTTTGCCTGGATTAGGATCAGGCACTCTTATTGATACTATGTGCCCCACCTCCCTCTGGTAGTGTCTTGCTACTGCCAACCAATTCTTGTAGTATTATGTTAGATGTTCAGGATTCATTTATGAGTGAGAACATGTAGTACTCAGTCCTTTGTTTCTGTGATAGATCATTGAGTATGATGGAATCTAAATCCATCCAAGTTGCTGAAAAGTCCATAATTTTGTCCTTCTTTATGGCTGTATAATTGTCCATCGTGTATATGTAACATTTTTTTAATCTAGTCCACTTTCAATGGACAGCACAGTTGGCTCATGTTTTTATTATTATGAATAATTCTGCAGTAAACATGCATGCACAGGTATTTTTTTGATAGAATGATTTTAGCTCCTTCAGATACACACACACACACACACACACACACACACACACACACACATATATTTTAAATCTCTTTTTTTATTATAAAGATGTGTGGTACAATTCAGGGTAGGTATACAAACACAGATTATGCAGGTACTCTTGTTGATGAGGTATGCCCCTCCCTCCCCTAGCAGTTTCCCTCAACTGCCAATCCCACCTCCTCCTACCTTGACAGTATCCCACTACTGCCAATCCCTTTCTTATAGTATTATAATTGTTCAAGGTCCGCTTCTGAGTGAGAACATATGGTACTCTGTTCTTAGTTTCTGTGAGCGATCACTGAGTATGCTCAACTCTAAATCCATCCAAGTTGCTGCAAAATCTGTATGTTTGTCCTTCTTTATGGCTGCATCCATATGTTTGTCCTTCTTTATGGCTGCATAATATTCCATTGTGTATATGTACTGCATTTTTTTTTATCCAGTTCAGCTTCGATGGGCAACATGGTTGGTTCCATGTTTTTAGTATTGTGATTAGAGCTGCAGAAAACATACATGTGCAGGTATCTTTTTTGTAGAATGATTTGAGTTCCTCTGTGTATATTCCCAATAGGGGGATTACTGAGTCATATGAAGGGCAATTTCTAGTTCTGTCAGAAATTGCCACACTGTATTCCAAAGAGGTTGCACTAGTTTGCATTCCCACCAGCAGCGTAGAAGTGTTTCTTTTTTCTCTGCATCCTCACCAGCATCTGTTATTGTTTTATTAATGATGGCCATTTTTATTGGGGTTAAGTGGTATCTCAATGTGATTTGCATTTGCATTTCTCTGATGACAAGTGATGCTGAGCAATTTTTCATGTCTCTGTTGGCTGCCCATATATCTTCTTTGGAGAAGTGTCTACTCATGTCTTTTGTCCACTTTTTAATGGGGCTGTTTGTGTTTTTCCTTTTGGCATGTTTGAGTTCCTTGTAGATGCTAATGTTAGGCCTTTGTCAGATATACAGTTGGTAAGTATTTATTCCAATTCTGTGGGCTGTCTCCCTGTTCTCTTGATGGTTT